CCTTCTCTCTTTTGACCCTGCTCCTGCGCCCACTTGGCCACTCAGTTCACCCAGGTATAGGCACTCAGTCCCACGAGGTTGCCCGTGTTCACCTGTGAGCCCCAGCACAGCTTGTGCGTGGTGTGGCACATGTCCCTGAAATCGCGTGTACTCTTTTGAGACAGGAAAACCTGAAACTTCTCTCATCCTTCATAAAAACTCACTTGGATCACAACCCAGACTTTGGCGTAAAGTCTTTCTCGTGCAAAGCCAAGAACCGAGGTATTACCCCCTCGAGAAACCTAACAAAATGAGGTACCTATTAGCAATGTATAGTAAGTGTTAATTATACTTAAAGGCATGATGTTAGCAGCAAGCCTTTCCAGTAGCTGTTGATGTTCAGTGTTGTCACAGGTCTAGTCCACCAGAGGCACCTCAGGTGAAAGACAGGCTGGTTGGTCTGCTTCTCCAGAATCCACCATTGGAAACCCGATGGAGCTGCTCGGTTGGAATCAACTTCACAGCAGCCAGTTTGGATTTTTGTAGTACAAGCAGTTAAAACAAGTACAAGAAATAAGGAATATAAAGATCAGTAAAAGTTAAACCCATGAAAATAGGGGGGAGGAGTCAAGATGGTGTCCAGGTAGAATCACCCACCTGGTGCTCCTGTTGTTAGATCAGAAAATAAAAAGATAAGAAGGCCAATATTGGGAGGCTGGGTGCTAAAAATAGACCGAGTGTACTAGGGTCTGGTGCAGACTACCCTCTGCAATTTTCACCGATGGAGCGATTAAAGAACTCACTGACCCTTCTCAGTTCACTGGGTCTGCACTCCGGCTCCACGCATCCCGCCCCAGATCCAGTGGGACTGCAGATGCCACCCCTTCACGCCCAAGATAAGAAACACGCAGCGTGCAGTAATTCCCCAGGCTGCTGTCTAAAGATGGTCATAATCCCAGGTTCGCAAAGAGCCTCTGAGAAGTACCCATTAGACCTCACACGGGAGTTCCCCTCGGTACAGTCCGCCCACTCTTGCATTCTCAGGCTTTGCACCCTTCCTCCCCAGCCAGGAACAGAGTGATTACATCAGCAATCCCCTTTCCCCCACTCCCCAGCTCTGCGCCTGCCAGCGTGGATAAGGATAGATAGCCACTAATTACCAGCAACTGAGGAGCCCTTGGGATATGTACCCATGACATAGCTATGCAGGAGAGTCAGGAGTGCAGCTGGGGTAGAATTCAGATCCAGTCTGTCCCCAAATCACTTGGTTAACCTGGTCCCCCTTCCCTGGGGGAAATGCAGCACAGCCTCGATACCAGGGCACGCCACAGGCCCATTATAAAAAAATAACCTGGCCCACCAAGGACAATATTCCTGCTCAGAGCAGCCAGCGCACAGAGGATCATCGGGTCGGCCCCACCACGGGACACGTCCCTCACTGACCCGTAGTGCTGTGGAGGACACACTGGAGACAGTGTGGGAACTGTGCCCAATCTGAACCACCACACCAGGACAAAACACTAAAGGTGTGCAACAGCAGCAAGGGGGGCAGAGCAGCGAAGTCCCTTCTGCACAGTGGGTACAGAAGAAAAG